CTTTTTCCAAACAGAGAGCCAATGATCTCAGTCCCATCTTGAAACAGTATATCATTTCCCCTCTGATTTGTATTGCCACTTTTCACATAACAAGTTCTTCCTGTGTTCCTCTATTTCCATGGTCTGTTTTTGCATGAATATATAAAATTGTTTCAATTACTATAGGTTTCCAGTAAGTCTTGATATCTGAATAAGTAACTTTTCATTATTCTCCAAAATTTTCATGACTCTTCAAGCATCCAAAAAAAAAGTCAAATTCCAAAAAAGTCCTGTTAGACTTGACTGGAAAAGCACTGAACTTACAGATTAATATGGGCAGAACTGTCATTTTTATGATAATTTCAGGATTCCCATGTGAAAATGTTCTATCTTACCATTTATTAGCTCTTGAAAAAAGATTTTCAAAAATATTTATAATTTTCTCCTTTAACGTTCCTGTTAGATTTAATCCTAGTTATCTTATCATTCTGACTGCTATTCTAAGTGAAATCTTTTTAAAAGTTACATTTTCAGTATCTTCACATTTTCTTTGAGTCTTGTTATTCCTTTCTTGCCTTCTAAAGTATTTGAGTTTTCTTTATTCCTTCCCCCACTCCTCCCTCATGCCTTGGAAAAGCTTGAGAACTATAAACAATTTTCACATAAACATTTACTTAAGTTTTATGTTAATTAACATGTCTAACTTCTTCCCAGATAATACAAGGATCTTACATGGATTCAACCCACTTCCCACATGTTTTGTTCCATATTTTAGTTCTATCCTTAAAAAGATATATTGATCATCATTATTATTTTGTACAGTGAATGCTTCTCTTTTAAACGTTCTTATTGTGGAATATGACATACATAGAGGGAAAGTTCCACAAATGTGAACGTATGTCTGAAGGAACTGTCACAAAATGAACGTCCGTGTAACCATAACAAGATGCAGAAGAGTGCCAGCATCCTGGCAGTGCCTCCTCACCACCCTTCCCCAACACCCCTCCCGGACCCGTGCCCCAAAGGCAACCACAATCTGATTTTTAAGGTAATTATTTCTCACTTGCCCTTATAGTTTTACCAACTTAGCAGCATGCATCCTTAAACACTGTACTTTAGTTGAGCTGTATATAAATGGAATCATACAGTATATATGATCCTTTGTGTTTTCTTTTGCTCAACATTTATTTGTTAGATTCACAACTGTAAACAGCCAGTCTATTTTTATTACAATACAGTACTTTATTGTATATTTACATGACAATGTAAATTCTAAGTTGACAGCTATTCTCTTAAAAAATGACATTCAACTGATTTCTGATTTTCGTCATTTCTGTTGAGAAGACAGCTGCCAGCTAATTGCTGTTTATTGGAAGGTAATCCTTTTTATCTCTAGCTGCTTTTAAGATTTCTCTCTCTCTCCTTTTTTAATTTTCAGCCATTTAACAATGATTATAAGTGTAGAATTTTTCAGTATTTCTTTTGCTTGAGGTTTATATCACTGCTGGAATCCATGGACTGATGTTCTTCACCCATTTTAGCAAGTTCTAAACCCTTTTCTCTTCAAATACTGCTTTTGCCCCATCCTCTTTCTCCTGACTTTCTGGAAATTTAAATTGTGCACTAGACTTTCTTGTGGTATTTATCTCTCTTCATTCCTTTCATCCTTTGTCTGTAGTTATTTTTGTCTAACATCTTTCAGTTCACTAATTCTCTCTTTAGATGTGTCTAATCTGTTGTTTAAACTTGAGTTAATTTACTGAATTTCTCATTCCCAGAATTTCCATTTGATTTTTTTAACAGTTTCCAGTGCTCTGCCAAAATTTTCAATCTTGTTTCTCTTTGAATGTAATAAGTATACTTATTTTTAAGGTCTGTATCTGAGAATTCCAGTATCTTGAGGCCCAATTTCTATCATCTTTTGTTTCTCTTTCTTCATGTTGTTTATGTCTTTGTGCATCTGACTGCTTTTGATTATAAGCCAGGCATTGCATTTGCAAACTACAGAAATAGTTTATGGCCTTGCATGATACTACCTTCCACCAGGAAGGATCTACAATTCTGCTAAATGTCTGGGGGCACTAGTAGTTTAGGAACCCTCAGCCTAATTTTAGAGAATGACATGACTCAAAGCTGATCTGTAGCCTCTGTAACAGCATGTCTGCTTCTGGTTAACGCTTGCTCCTATGGTGTAGCCCTTTAGAGTCCCAACTCAAAATGAGGCATGTTCATCAGATGTCCCCTCTTTGTGGGCCATAGGCTCTAATCTCTGTCCCCCTTATACCCACTAGCCCGTCAAGAGGGCTGAATAGCTGTTTAGCAGCTCCCTCCAGAAATGGCTAATTTCTCCAGAGGAACATTGACCCCCATAAACTGGGACCTTGTTTTCTGGGCCTCCATTCTCCCCCTAGATCTTGTAAGGTCTCTGATACCTCCAAGCACATTAAAAAAAAAAAAAATTAAACATTTTGTTGAGCTTCTCCAGTAGTTTTCAGTGGCAGCCATGATTCAAATTACCTAATCTGCCACTACCAGAAGTAGAAGTTCCAGATTTTATCTACATTTTTACCAATTTCATTGCTCACCATTGTTTCTCACATCCACTGTTTCCTTCTGGGTTCAATTTTCTTCATTCTCAAATATATCCTGCTTCACATTCTTCCAACAAGATTCTGTGACTAGTTAATTCTATTAGACTTTGTCTGAAAAAATATCTTCATTTCATCTTATTCCTGAATGAGAATTAAGCTGGGTATAAAATTTTAAGTTGACAGTTATTTTTACTTAGCTCTGTGAAGATATTCTTCCACTGTTTTCTGGTCTCTCTTGCTGTTGTTAAAATGTTTACTGTCAACATAACGGATATCCCTTTGGATGTCATCATCATTTCTTTTTTGTTGATACTAAGACATTTCTCTTTTTTTCTTTGGCACTCTCCAGTTTCACTACAATGCATCTAGACATAAATTTCTACTTACCCCATTTGGGCTCATGGTGCTACATGAATCTAAGTATTTATGTTTATTAATTCTAGAACATTCTCAGCCATTCTATCTTTGAATATTGCCTCTACACTAGTCTTTCTATTTGGACTTCTCATTTTAACTCTGTTATCTCAATTTCACTTTCATATTTTCCATCTCTCTACCTCTCTGTGCTACATTCTGGGTGATTTCTTTAGATCTATTCTACTGTTTATCACTTCTCTCCTCAGCTGAAACTACTGCTTATGTTTAACCTAGTTGCTGAGTTTAAAATTTTGATGATGACATTTTCCATTTATTGGAGCTATTTTAGCTTCCCCTGTGAGAATCTCTTGTGGCCTGGCTTTGTTGGAGTATCCCTTGGGGTGTGCTTATATCTAACAACCCTATGTGGTAACATTGGCCCAGGATTCATTTTAAAATTAATTTCTCAATTTGGGGGCCCCAGACTACATAGTGGGGTGGGTGTGTGTGTGTGTGTGTGTGTGTGTGTATGTTTTCAAATCCTAAGCATGAGTTAAAGATCCATGGGTTAGAATTCCCCTGGCAGATTCCTCATCTCCTACTCTAGAACCCAGGCAAATAGTTAAAAGGTTTTGTTATTTCTCTGTGCTGGTAGGGAAATATTTTCTAGTCATGCTTTTCATTGATGATAGAGCTGCTTTGAAGGTTCCAGTTCCTAGGCCACACCTTAAGTAAGTTCAAGGACTCATTTTATGCCCCCTAGTGGATGATAAAACCCAAATGCACACATTACCAGAACCAAAAGCTACAGCTCATTATCTTTACTACTCTAGTTTTCCGCTTTCTTTTGATTTCTGAAGACTTCCTTTTCTTTCCTGAGAGCTCAATTGTGCATTTGAAATGATTTTAGTTATATTTTACCCAGCATTTGAAGATTTTTGTAGAAGGAAGGTTTTCAGGTTACCTAGTCTACTGTATTGCCAGAACCAGAAATCCCACGACACTGTTTTTAAACTTTCCTTTAATGAAACAAATATGTTAATACTAGTATATTAGTCAAAGTTTTCCAGAGAAACAGAATCAATAGATCTATAGATCTAGTCTATCCAATCTATTGGTACCTGAAAAAAAGAAGAATATATATATATATAATCTATCTATCCATCTATCTATCTAGAGATTAAATATAAGGAGCTGGCTAACATAATTATGTAGGCTGACAAGTCCCAAGTTCTGCAGCTGGCAAACTGCAGACACAGAGAGCTGATGGTGTAGTTCCAGTCCAAAGGCCTGCAAGCTTGAGAGCCAGGAAGAGGTGTTTCAGTTTGAGTCCGAAGGCAGGAAAAAACTGATATCCCAGATCAGGCAGTAGGAAATTCCCTCTTACTCAAGGGAGGGTAAGCCTTTTTGTTCTATTCAGGCCTTCAAGTGATTGGATGGCATATTAGGGACAGTCTACAGATTCAAATGGTAAACACAACCCACCCAGAATAATGTTTAACGATGTCCAGGTACCCTGAGGCACAGGCAAATTAGCACAAAATTAACCATCACAATTAGTAAACACTGGCTTGATTTTTAGTTAATTTTATTTTTTTCTAAGACCCCAATCAAGTTCTCCTTTGAGACCTAACAATTTATACCTGTCACTACAGCTGAGTTATCAGTGGTAAGTAAACTAGCTTTCTGCACATGAACCTTACACATACTTAATTCTACAAGTCCCTTTATGGATTTAATTTCTCTCTTTTAGGATAAATGAGTTCAAGTCTCTGGAAGTAATGTGGAATAAAAGTGTCACTTAAATACATATTCATGATCTGTTTTGCAAAACCTTTGGCTCATATAATCATCTATCTTTGTATTATGAACATGTAGATATTGACATCTGCTCACAACATGTAAATCTCCCATAATCCCAGTTCAGTGACATAACTTGGTTCAAAATAAATTTTATCTGCAATTTCTTCAAACTATAAATCACAGCAACAAGTCTTCCACCATAACTCTGGGTTTCAATCATCATATAAGGGATAACAAACTTTCACTAAATTGTACTTATGTTAACATTACCCTCCTTTGCTCCTCTTCGGCATCAGCAAAGAGTTTACGAATGTTAGCCTCTGATTCTCCCACATATTTGTTGAGGATTTCCGGCCCGTTGACCACTTTAGGCTCTCTTGCATTCAACATCTTGCCAATCTGTCGAGCCAAGAGAGTCTTACCACAACCTGGAGGCCCATATAACAGGATGCCTTTAACATGTTTGCAACCTAAAAAGGAAAAGAAAACAGTCTTACATCAACTAACTAAAATCCAAGTAAGACATCAAAGTTTTCTTTCTTCTTCACATGAATGTCAGGAAGAATACAGCAATAGCATTAACATATATTAATATCTAGGTGCTATGAACAGAATAAGAATGAGCTGAAGATCTTTTTAAAATAGAAAATCCACAAACAATTCCTACACCAATACCAAGAGTTGAGGGGGAAAGCTGCCAATTAAAGGTCTTTGGAAAAGTATATTTGAATTATCATTGAGAACGAATACTTTTAACTCTGAAAATGTCTCTTTGACCTAAATACCTAATTAGGAAATATTACTTCTTTTTCATTATCCTTTACTTTAAAGCCAGGGGGAAAAAAGATCTGTTTTTAGGCAAGTTTAACCCAACACAGATCTATTATGATACGACAGGCTACGGAAACTGTATCTTGGTCAAAGAAATTACAGGTCTACCTGTCAATTACAAGCACCTGAAGAAAGGGCAGACATGTCTGAGTTGGGTGGGTACAGAGCAATCCATAGGATCCAGATGGATGTTACAGACTTTGTGGATGAAGTCAAATGCCCTATTTCACGTGACTATGCCAGGTGAGAAACGTGTTTTCTCAGAGCCACCAGGATGAAAATGAAACTGAAGCTTCATGAGAACAGTATTCAATCCTTTTCTAGGCAACCATTGCTAAATGCCTTAAAGGTATCATTAACAATAGCAAAATAGCAAGACTAATGATTTAGACTCCCTGGGATTTCTTTAGCCCACTCTACACAAGCATTTACTCCATTTCTTAAGATTAAGATGAAATTTGGTTTCTGTTTACTCACTCTAGGAATTCTCACCTATTTAAGTTTCACACTTAAGATGCATGACTCTTTACTTATGCGTTTTTTCTTTATACTACACCAAAAAAGCACTCTGTGAAATAATGAATTCTTAGATTTCAAGCATTACACTCAAAACTACAGGTGAACAAGAAAATTTCTGGAAATGGGATACAGTGTATTTTTATAGAAAATGTCCTCATTTGGAACAAAAGCCTTAAAAAATTATATCTTTAAGAAAAATTATGACAATACATCGAATGACTCAATAAAGGAAACCACAAGATTCAACCAACTCTACTAGAAATTTTAGATTCTGAGGAGGAAGATATTTTGGGTTGCCAGTACGGCCATTGCTTCTATCTTTGTTTCAAAAAAAGACTCCCTTTTAAATCCTTAAAAGTAATGAGATCTGTGCTTCTGGTTAGACTTGTAGAGACAAGGCGAACTTAGTGGAAACCCTTAAAGGCTTAGATTCTTAACCCTTCTCATCACAGAGTAAATTCCTGTCCTAAGTACTGTGGCCCAGGGACTTCCCTGGTGGCTCAGTGGTTAAGAATCCGCCTGCCAGTACAGGGGACACGGGTTCGATCCCTGGGTCAGGAAGATCCCGCATGCTGTGGAGCAACTACGCCCGTGTGCCACAACTACTGAGCTTGTGCTCTAGAGCCCGCAAGCCACAACTACTGAGCTGTGTGCCACAACTATTGAAGCCCGCGTGCCTAGAGCCCGTGCTCTGCAACAAGAGAAGCCACCGCAATGAGAAGCCCGTGCACCACAATGAAGAGTAGCCCCCACTCACCGCAACTAGAGAAAGCCCGTGTGCAGCAACGAAGACCCAATGCAGCCAAAAATAAATACATTAAATTAAAAAAAAGAACGGTGGCCCATAAAATATCTTTGCCCTTGTCCCACCCTTGGGACATGAGGGGTAAGGAGATAAGGGGATAAGCCTTGAGCTTCTCCTAGAGGCCAACACCACCAGGCACTGTCAGCATCCAAGCCACTGGGGCACATCTGACGAGGACTTTGGAACCTGGCTCCTAACCTTCCTCTCCAAACCAACTGCTACTATCATGATTTGAAGCTATTTGTATAAACCACTGCAGAGGCAGGTGGTGGTAGAGGGAGTGAAACAGGCACAAGGAGGGGAGAGCCAGAAAGGATAAAATGAAGACTTGCTAAGTACCTACAAAGTACCAGCCCTTAGCCACGTCTCTCCAGTCTCAACCTTCTCCAAGTTTATCAACTTCCTTCTAACCACACTTCCTTCCATATTAAGCCATGCTTTCCTTCAAAAACTCTCACCTCCTCAGCATTCTGTTATACCTACCCTATGAGCCCTGAACACAATATGGCTTTACTGCACCTAAACATTGGCCAGAGCATGACCAGAGAAAATTACACCACTGTGCTGACTGATATCCTAACAGTCTCATGCTATCTGATTTCAGTTCTACTCTCACTGCTTTCTCAATATTGCATGCCACCCCTTACCTGTTTCTGTTCATCTCTCACTCTCCTTAGTTATTATCCAGACTTCACTGTTCTCTTCTCAAGCACTACCCATGCCATTAATTCTTAGAGATGATCTAGTTTCCTACTTTTCATATTAAAAAAAAAAAAAAAAAGACTATCAGGTATGAACTCCCTTCAGCTCCCTGCTTTTTTTCTTTTTTTGGCCTCCCTCTTTTTTTTTTTTTTTTTTTTTTTTTTTTTTTTTTTTTTTTTTTGCAGTGATAGAGCCAGCTGTCTTGGATTCTGGGCAGAGGCAGGGCAAGCCCCATGGGACAGTGGCCATGTGGCCCATCCAAGGCAGGTAAGGTGGGTAGGGGCCAGGTTTGCCAGAGTGGCCGGAAGTAGATGAAGTCCAAGCAGACAGCCACCAAGCCTGGCCAAAGAGGGAGCCAGGTGGAACAGGGTCACTCACCAAATCAAAGAGCCGCTTGGAGGCTGGAGTCGGGAGCCAGGGGTTCCAGGAACAGATCAGGAAGCAGAGGGACAGGCAGCATGGCGAGTGGGTCAGGGGTCACCCCACATCTGCCTGAGTAGACCGGGGTCTGGTACGCAGAGAATAAACTAGACCCGGCTGGGCACGTAGTGGGGAGGAGTGGAGCTTGAGACAGAGGCAGCAGGTAGGGGGTGCGTGTCAGACTGGGCAGGCTGATCCTGATTCTCAAACAAGATCCCCCTGAGGCTGCAAGAATGGGGGCCCAAAAGGACTTAGGAAAAGGAGGGCAAGCAGAATGGACTTTTTTTTTTTTTTCTTGCGGTACGCGGGCCTCTCACTGCCCTGGCCTCTCCCGTTGCGGAGCACAGGCTCCGGACGCGCAGGCTCAGCGGCCATGGCTCACGGGCCCAGCCGCTCCGCGGCATGTGGGATCCTCCCGGACCAGGGCACGAACCCGTATCCCCTGCATCAGCAGGCAGACTCCCAACCACTGCGCCACCAGGGAAGCCCCCTCTTTTTTTTAAACACTGCAAATTTATTATTTCACAATTCTTTAAGTCAGAAGTTTGGGTGGGTTTGGGTGGCTCTGCTCCATTTTTCATAAGACTGAAATCAAGGTGTGGGCCAATGGGGCTCTGGGAAGAATCCACTTCCAAGTTTATGTGGGTTGTTGATAGAATCTATTTTCTTGTGACTATAAGACTGAGATCCCTCTTTCTTTGCTGGCTGTCAGCTAGGGGTCAGGTTGATCTCTTCTCCTAGAGGCTGCCTACTTTCCTTTTGACACTTTCCATGTGGTCCCCCTCCAGCAAGTGACTGAGTTTCTCTTATGCTTCAGTTCTCTTCAGCTTCTCTTTCTGACACATCTCTCTGCCTCTTCTGCCTTAAACTACCTTATGTGATTATGTTGGGCCCACCCAGATATTTCAGGTTAATCTCCCTATCTTTTGATGAGGTTATTAGTAACCTTAATTACATCTCCAAACCCCCTTCACATCCCTGCTTCTTTATCTACAAATTTATCTGCAGACACCTCTTTTCTCAACCTCAGCATCAGTTCTCAAAAACGGAGCTTCCTTCCTCTTCTCCAAAGTTTAAATTGCAATTATTTGTTTATATACTTTCTTTTCTCTTAGACTGTAAACTATTCAAGGGCAGGTACTGTCTCATCAATCCTCAATTGCAGACACCCAGCCTAATGCCTAGTACATAATCTGTACTCAATAAATGGCTGAATAAGTAAATTATAGATTCTTTTCCTACAAAACTCAGAGAAAATGGGGGGATAGAAGATGGTTTTTAAAAATTATTTGAAGCTCTTAAATTATGAACAGTATGTACTTTCATGGCTGAACTAATTTAAATACCTAAAAAACACCTTTGCAATGACTGGGACTTACAAATTTAGCAAGACAAACTACATAATACATAAATACTAGATTTTTAACTCTGTAACTCTGTTTTTGTACGTGGGAAATGCTCAATTTAATGTGTTTTGAATTAAATTGACTCAGATGTCATAAAATAAATAACCCACAAAATATTACCATGAAGCTTGAGAGAAAGATAAAATGCACATCCGTAGAACTTATATATAATACAGACCTGTGAAATTACAGAATCTATTCAATATAACATCAATAAGAATGTCATAGAAACTCTAGTCTGCATGAGAACCATAATCCTTTTAGGATGTCAAGAAAGCACATCAAAAATATACAATGGGGCTTCCCTGGTGGTGCAGTGGTTGAGAGCCCGCCTGCCGATGCAGGGGACGGGTTCGTGCCCTGGTCTGGGAAGATCCCACATACCGCGGAGCAGCTGGGCCCTTAAGCCATGGCTGCTGAGCCTGCGCATCCGCAGCCTGTGCTCCGCAATGGGAGAGGCCCGCATACCGCAAAATAAAAAATATATATATATATATACACAATGACATGTGAAGATTTTCAAAATCCACTTCCACAAAGGAAGCAGTTACTTGAATAAGCAGTGGAAATGGGACTTTGTTATTACTATTATTATCATAGCCTTTCTGACTTATTAAATAAGCATTGGTCTCTAATTTAAATGAGTCATAAAAACTCTTCATAAGTAATTCCATTCAACAAAAGTGTATTAAGCTCCTGTTTGGACTAGGCAAGAAACTAGGTGTTTGGGATACAAACATGAAAAAGGCAGTCCCCACCTGCAGGGCATTTCTGATTTAGTAGGAAA